ATATATATATGCCTTTTCATTTTTTTATTTTACAAGTTTCAGAAAGAAAATCAACTCTGAAATATTTAAAATTTGCACTTAACTTTGGAAAAAAATGTTTTATTGATTGTATGAACGTAGAACATGACACTTAACATATTTTCAATCCAATTTAGCAATAAAATTATAAAAGTTAATCTGGCAAATTAAACATTCCCTATGTGAAACATAAATAAAGAGAGAGACTTTCCTCTGTAGCTCATGATACTATTTTGGACCACTGATGTGATCTTATTGAGCACTCTGTTAAGTTGTGTGGGGGTGGTATGAATACGGACACAAGATTTTAACACACTAAATCATTTACAACCCTAAAGTGGTAATTAGCTGCATCACCTCAAACTTGCATAATAATATTAGTAATTTGAGTAAGTGGATAAAAATACCAAGTTTGCAAAATGATTATCTCATTCAGAAAAAAAAAAAACAATTCTCCTCCTACTGTTTAAACTGAATTTTGCGTGAACCCGTTAACTCTGAACTTTGTTTTTGTAGTGATGATATGAAACTAGAAGCAGGAAACCAGGTGACAGTTCGGTGTTTAACCATGACGGCTGAGGTACCAAGTAAGCAGTCAAATACAGAGCACTTCATCATGTCACCCACTGGTTGTGTGCAAAAGGAATATAAATTTAGTCATCATTCAAGCTTAGTAAATTAAGTTTTCAAAGGTGGAATAAATCATACCCTTCCCTGGTTGAAAGTTGGACTGTTCTGTTCTCCTGGTCCCCAAGGACTGGACCCGCTCCTTTCATCTAAACCTGGAGGGCAGAAAACTTGGTTAGACATGTCAGCCTGTTAACAGAAAGAACATTGTTTTTAGAGATTTATGTCCTTGTCTGGCAAGAAATGTCTCACTTGAGAGATTGACGACTTGCTTTGATACAGGTTTTTCAGGCTTCTCAAAGTAATCTCCAGTGAAGAGCTACACTTCAAAGCTCACACAGAGACAACAGAGTGACAGCGCTGTCACATAGTGTGGATATGAGCTGTAGGAAGTTTGAATAATTAACACCCAGTGTGAGGCTTCCAGAATCATCCTCGACATTCTTCATTCTCCCACTTCTCTCCTTTACATTTTCCATGGCAACAGTCATTCATAGCCCATTTAGTCTGTCTCTCTCTCACACACAAACACACACACAAATACATACACAGCTTACACCTTTGCCTTACCACACACATGAGGTCTCAACCTCACATGGCTGGCACGTGTTATCCCCATGGTCAAAGCAGCCTTCAGAAAGATGACCACGTTGTAAAACGGGTGATTTTCAACATTTCTTAAGCAGAAATTTCTGCCTGTTTCTCAGTTTTTTCTTCATTCTGCAACACAGCATCTCTGGGGGAAATCTGAAGCTTAATTGCACACTGATTTGCATAATTGTGCATATTAATGAGACTTGGTTCTATGAATATTCATATTTTTTTTTGTTTTGTTGACTAACTAAAAAGCTTAGGAGAAAAAAAAGAGGTAAGATGGGGGGAGACGGGCTAAAATCAAGCCAGGATCAGCAGTAGAACAAAATAATGGGTCCATACTGCTGAAAGCTGCTAGATTGCAGTAACAAGAGTGATCTACGTGACACCAATGGAATAAGAGATGAAGGAGACTTTTTCTTTAAGTCAATCAAGCATACAAAAAGAAACACATTCAAGTTGTTGGCACTCAACTTTCAAAATAAGAAAATGCTTCCCATCAGTGATTTTAAAATTAGGACTTCAGTAAATCTTGTGAAAACTAAGAAAAGGAGGAATTCATGCAGAGGACAAAAGATTAAGTAAGAATTGATACCCTGATATTACACTGAAATGACCAAAATACTTTGGTATCAATAATAAATCCTTACAACTAAATTGGTTTTTATTAGTGTTTCCTGAAGTTGATTAACTGTGATTAACTAAATTAACTGAACCTTTTAATGCCATCATTTTACAAAATGTCTAGACATCACCAAAACTTAAGTGAAGTTATGTATGAATGACAGACAACACCACTTTAATTAAACAGCTTGATAAACACAAGCAGGTTACAGATAAATGACTGAGACCGTTGTGTAACTCATGAACTGAATTAATGTGTTTTAATCATAGACCTTACATAAAAAACAGACCTAGCCATGAGTGAAGATAATGTGCAAAAATGAATCTGACAGACAACCTGAGAAAAGTTTGCACCTTTACTGGCTAGCACTTTGAACACTCACCCTCCACTTATTACCATTCTCTTAATAAAGCATAAGTTGAAGCCTTTACATAAATTAAATGAGTTACATAAATATACATTCCCACACCGTAATCATTAAAAATAGTGTGTAAATTTGTCTTTTTAACCACAATTTCTAGAAAAATATAAGATGTTTTCATAAATACACCAAATCATGCTGCTGATGCTGCTAAAATCATTTATGATTTTTAGGAGAGTAAAATAAATGTGATTTCAAACAGAACCTGAAGTAATAATTAAATTTCAATGCCACAATAGGGTAGTCAAAATCATGACAAAACTATGAGCAGTCCAATATTCAGACATACCATGAGAACTGGAAGAACATGAGGAAAAGAGTGAGTAACAACAGATGAAGCCTCTTGAGAACCCAAACCCTCTTCTCCTCCCAGCATGCAACGCCCCTTTAAGGTTAGCGAGTCTATAATTACTCACAAAAAAAGATATCAGAAACAGACAGACAGCCTGAGTCACTGGCTTCGTGAGCAAAACACAGGCAGATATATTGACCAAACTTGCAGACATGTCTTCGTTTTTACAGGAACACTGCCCCAGGCCAACTATAACTGAGCATGCTGTTTTTGTCTGCACAGCTTCTTCCTTCCCTTAGAGAAGTGAGTCACACCGACACAAAGCATAATGTCAGATAAAATCTCAAGAGTCAACACTGTTAATGAAATAACGAACAATATACAATAACACAGGCCTGCATTTTATACCTGCTAGTCACTGCAGTCTTTCTCAAATACAACACAATGTACACTAACTTACTCAGTAACTCATAGCAGTGGTTCCCAACCAATTTTCTTTAAAACCCACGACAAGCTGAGCCCCCCATCCCCACTACTCCTCATGTTACGAATAACACAAGTATAATTATTATGTATTGCCCACTAAAATACTGTAAACAAACAAAATTACATTTAGTCTTTTATCATATTCATACAAATACAAATCTATAAACTAGACCATCATAATGACATATAAACAAATCACAACTAAAGCTGTGCTGAATCGAAATCAGCAAATAATACAATGTAAACCACATTTAATTCACTCCTTTAAAACACTAGAATCAATAACATATCAATATTAATCCATAATTTGTTAGAAACAAGCATTAGCATTGTGATAATTAGCTACTAATATACATTCTAAACCCTATGGACTTTTTTGTGGATACTGCCATCTTTGCCTAGCGCAAAGCATCATGGTCCAGTTTGGGGGCATCCAGTGCCGGTGGGGGAACCGAATGACTGTGAAAATGGGTCGTGGGGGTCATGGAGATCTCTGTGCTGTGTATTACTTGTGTTTATGTGCAAGAATGATCCCAGATCCAAGAAAATAAGTTAGAATATATAGAATAATGAAAATATAAGATTGTCATCACTAGGCCTAGTAGCAGATCTAGTGCTACAGGGTTTACAGCAATCTTGGCTGCATATCACATTTTACGACTACAGATCATTTTCACCACTTGAGCGCCTGCCTCTTCATTGACTTTTCTTTTGGTTGCCCCCAAACAATCCAACAAACCATTACGTGCTGTTTCAGGTAGGCGGTGATAAACAGTATCTGTAAAATAGTCTTTAGAAAACTGCTAGCATAACGCTAATCTCTCCAGAACACTCCTGCAGGAAAAACACATTTACTCAATAGTTTACAACAGAAAAATTTAATAACAGTTACATAAATGCCTAATATTGCAATAACACACAACTTACCCCGTCACGCAATGTATTTAACTGTAAATGTGGATGTTTTGTTTAAACTGTAAATCTACTTGTGACTTCAATATTGTTGTCTCTGAAATTCAACCATACTTTAGCTTGAAAAATGTACCCATTCATGCAAATTTATATGCCCTCCTCTTTTGCACTTCTGCTTGTAGAATCCATAAAATACATTTTTTTGGACTCTCAGTTTCTAATGGCCCAACAAATGAAAGTGTATACAAAAATAACAGTGAAAGACATCCAACAGACAAAAGACCAGAGCTGAAATCTCATCTGGGAGATTCCCCACAGCCACATGTGTTAAACCTTCACATACTTCAGACCTAAACCATACTGGAAAAAAAGGCATCTGACTGACTCTGCAGGAAAAACACAAAGCAGCTGCTGGTGGAGAAAATGTGGACAAAACGAAAATCAGTGAAAGGCTTTAAAAGACAGTGTATCTTTAAAATACTCCTGTTCAACTCACTGCTAGTGCTGCTCACCTCAGACATGCAGGATGTCTGCAGCTTCTTATCCAAAATGTTGCCACTAAAGAAATACCTACTAAAATGTTCTGTCAGAGCAGCCCTTTTTCTCAAAACATGATCTGATGCACATTCAGGCATAAATAAATAAATAAATAAATAAATAAATAAATAAATAAATAAATAAATAAATAAAGTTGCAGGATGCAAATTTGACAAAGTCCAGCTCTATTAATTTTCAAGATTTTAATTGTTTGCTAAGCATTTTTTATATTTGGAAATCCCTCTCTGAGGGTCTTGATTGAGGTTATGGTTATACAGKTTCTGGTTTCTGGGAAGTCCCCCCATGAAGACAAAATTATCTTCAAACATTTTCTCTGGTTGCACTTGCACCATAGATAGGAACACATAACTTATGTAACAACCAGCCAATTGTGATTAGATGAAGTGAAGTCATATCCTGTTCTTTCTGTCACATACAAGCTTTATACAACTTGGTCTACACAATCAGTTTATTTCTCTATATTTTGTAGTTATGAAATGATGTAAAGCTAAAAAGCATTTGTTAACTGTGTTTAGAATTTATTGGTACCAAATTTTACTTGTAACTTTTTTCAAGGTTTTCTTTTCTAAATAGTGGTTTTGGTGCAGTTATATCGCAGATGTTTTCCCTCATGTTGGTAAAGTTGATGTCTGAGGTGGAAGCTAAGACAGACTTGATAAATAGAGCTTATCAACCATCAACCTCCACAAAAAAGGGACAACTTCCACCAATAGTTGTAAGAACTATGAAAAGGTTCCTGTGTTCCAAAAGGACACAATGAGTAACAGTTTGATTGACAATGTCTACATATTTTTATGTGGTATTGTGGTTAGAAGCTGTCGCCTCACAGCAACAAGATCATCGGTTCGCTTCCCCGCATTTCTGTGTGGAGTTTGCACATTCTCCCCATGCACATGTGGGTTTTCTCTGGGTTCTCTAAATCAGTGGTTCCCAAACTTTTCAGCTTTTGACCCACAAAATACCAGCAGCAGAGACCTAAGACCCCAGCTGTTGTAGGTTAATAAACACTGTTTTCACATCAGATAAACAAGGACATAGTAACAATATTCATTAAGCTATTTTTGTCCAATGTAAATACACTAACCTTTCTCTTTTGTAACAACAAAGGCATAAAAAGTTTGTTAGTTCTCATTTTTTTAGTGTAAGTAATTCAGAAAATCTTTTCAGGACCCCACTTTGGGTCCCGACCCCAACTTTGGGAACCACTGCTCAAAATTGTCCCTGGGTGTGAGTGAGAATGTGAATGGTTGTTTGTCTGGTTGTGCGACTATAAAGAATTTGGTGCTACCAGTCGTTCGAGGAGGGCAGCCGGTCCATTTTTTAATCCTGATACAGGATTAAACGGACACTGTTTTCAACAAATCAAATGAACGCCAGAGCCATTTTATCCAATCAGAGCAGAGCAGGGCAGGTGTTTCAGTGAGGTGCAGCAGCCACAAACTGCAGCGGCCGGAGTCAGTAGACCTCTCCTTCACTCTTGAGCTACCAGACACTTTGGTCTCTTGAACCTAAATTTATATTCAATATTTATGTGTTCACATCAGAGCATTGTCATCGAACAGATACGTCCAATTTTGCATGTGTGACCAAACTCCCCTCTCCTTGTAAAAGATCGCTGTAATTGAGCGTGCCGTGGTGTGTGCAGGCTGAGTCTTTCTGTGAAATTCACTGTTTGATTTCTTCTAATTAACTTTAGCGGACAAAAATTTGTTTGCCCCATATTAAGGCAAACACGAGTCTCCCTTTAACGTTTATTCACCCACACCCCATAAAAAAATAAAACAACACAAAAAAGCTCATCATGTTCATGTGAGTGCGCTTCAAATGTTTTCTTAATTTATTACAACTATCCACAACTTTAATTCTTCACAATTTTGTAGGAATAACAAGATTTTTGATGTGCTAAGCTTGTTTGTATTTAGAACCACACTGTGGCTGGACTGTTTTACAATAAATATAATTTAATAAATGATCAAATATGAAAAATAAATAGTATTAAATGATTACATGAGCTGAAACCATCTAAATAATACAATCTTTTTGAACAAAACAGTTATTTTAAAAATATGAGTCAGTCTAACAAATAAAAAAAAATAGTTTTAAGTTATTTTGTGCTGAGCAAAAAACCCTCTGGAAAAATGAGAGATTTTCCAATTCTGATGGTGAAAAAGTTACATGTTTATAGTGTTTTGCTATGCTGGTTAAAGTCACTGTAGTTTTCATGTCAGGTCACTATCTGGCATTTTGATTTATGTATTTCAACCAAACATGCAGTACTCTTCTATCTGCTAATGTTGATCTACTTGTGGGTGCAGAGAATAACTATTGACTGGATGCAATGTGTGACTTAAGACCTCTGCATACTCCATCCAAACCGCTGAAATTGGCAGGAGCTTGGCTCTGTGTGTCTCAGGAGCACCGAAAGGTGTGTGCACAAAACGAACGCTAACGAACAACCACGTGACTGCGTGTCAACTGTTTAGCTTCAGACAGAGTATGTAGAGACCTTTAATGTTTTCTGAAGTTCAACTTGAAACAATGCAGTGTTTCAAAAAGAAAAAAAATTGTATAGGTCTTCTGGACGGGTTCTTCTCTAATGAAACGTTTCGTCTCTCCTCCAAGAGACTTCTTCAGTCTGAGAGTTTCAGGCAAAATTCAGGCTTTTAAGCCCTGCCTCCATGTGACTGATACTCACATCACATGGCTATCGTTGACACCTAATTAACACCTATTGTTAACAGGGGGTGGAGTGATACTGGCAATAGCAGCACTGTAGGAGGGGGACAACTGAAAACGGAGGCCTCCACCTCTGTTTAATGATGGACGGTCTTTCTTCAAAAAAATGGCTTCTTTTACTCCTCTCTCAAACCAACGTTCCTCTCTATCAAGAATGAGAACATCCTCATCGCTGAAAGAGTAACCGCTGGCCTGTAAATGAGTGAAAACTGCAGAGTTCTGGCCATTAGATGTAGCTCGTCTGTGTTGGGACATTCTTTTGAACAGTGGCTGCTTTGTTTCCCCGATGTATAACTGGTCGCAGTCCTCCTGGCACTTAACAGCATATACAACATCTCTCCTTTGAGACATGGATTCAAAAAGCCTCGGTGTCTGAGAGAACAATCACTGTTGACGTATACACAAACAGCCAAAATGTAGCAGAAATGCTATGATTTCAATGAAAAAGGTGTCTTGTAAATAAGGCCTGATTGGGTTGTTTCCACTAATGCTTTGCCTTCATACTGATTTGATTGAATGGAGACGGCTGAGAAGGTGAGGGATGGAACACCTGTGAGGTCAAGATGAGGAAGTGTAGACATAATGACATTTGCTCTACATGTCGCCAAATAAGTTGGAAATATTTCCTCAAGTTCACTACAGTGAACTGTGGTACTATTTTTATTACAAGGTAAAGAAAACAGGAACAAATTCTTTTCGATCACAATAAATAACAAAAGAGAGAATGAAAATGGGGTAGTGAAAGTTGAAAAAAGCCCAAACTGATTATTTTAGGAAATTCACTAAGGAGCATAGTAAAACAAAATTATCTTTAAGTAAAGAAAGAGAGGGAAACTTGTTTTTTTCTTACCAGAGCCTCCAAACTGACTGCTGGCAAGAGTAGTTGGCCCATTCTTACCATTTGTAACTGGTGGTTCAAACATCTGAAAAGAGAGTAAAAAATCTGTAAGATCGCTGATAAAAGTTCAAAATGTAGCATCTTTATTATATCTTATATTAAATCAATAATTACAACAAACACGGAGCATTTAGTTGTTTTTCTCTTGGCTGCTCCCTCCTGCAGGGATCGCCACAACAAGCAAACACACATGAATGATTTGGAAATAGACCATTTAGTAGTTACCAGAACTAGCAGAGCCTAGATCTTCCGGGTCACAGATCAACCGGCAAAATGCTGAGGTTACTATGAAAATGCCATTAGAATTTAGCAAATGTAACAAGCTCAGAAAGCAGATTTATAGCTTAGATAATATTTATGAAAACTCTCGTCTATAATCCTAAAGGAAGTTTAACACAAATCAGTGTGATTATAATAGCAACCCAGCGTTTTCCTGCTAAACGTGTGAGGTTGAAACACTTGGCACATGAGCAATTGTGTCAATTTCTAACTACAAAATGGTCTATTGTTTTACATGGGATACCCTTCAGGCTTTTTCAGAGGACACCCCGTATCGTTGCTGATGCGTGTTCAGACCACACTGGACACAGAAGCAGTGGGGGTGGCAGAGACACCCCGCCTTTGTAACTTGGAGCGAGGAAGTGACAGAAACGTCAATGCCAACTACTGAAAAGGTGGGCCGGCGTAGTACTAACTGACACCTTCAGGAACCACACAACCACAGGTTTCTTAAATCCAAACACCAGATTTAAACTTTCAGTGTGTTTTTTTAAGCCTTGCTTTATATTTGTGCAGAGGGGGAAACTTTTTCAGCACAAAGACTGGCTAAAATTATGGAGCAGCACGGATATAACTGTGGTAAAACTCTGATTATTTGAAAAATCCTTAAAAAGACGTAAATAATAATATTTTGATCTCTGCAAGGTGCATGGGTCCTGCAACTCATAAGTGCAAGCAAAACATCAGAGCAGCTATGTTTTTTGTTTCCACACCTCTTAATTTCGCATTGATTAATGTTTTCTGAAAGTGTGTTTGAGCACATTAAAGGACCAATATTATGTTTTTCTCAGGCATATATTTAAATACTATACCATAATAAAGAATCTATATCACCTTTAGTTGTTATTAAAATGCATTTTTTATGTTTAAATAGAAAATAAACTTATCTTCTCATCACTTCCTCTTCTAAATGCCTTGAATTTGGCCTCTGTCTCTTTAAGAACCTCCCCCTGCTTCTGTCCCGTCACCTGTCAGTGGGGGGTTCGCGCGCCCGGGGGTGATTTGTTTCGCCCGTGCACTATGATGCTGTTTACTTGGCATCTGAAAATACATTTCCTCAAAGGTATTTTGAATCTGAAAAGAGCTTCACTGAGTGAGAAGTAGTGGATCTCAGCAGACAGCTTAAGTTTCACTTTCACTTTTGCTCTRTTACTGCCGAGAGCCTGCAGGAGTCATGGACGGGGTGTGTGGGGTAGGGGGTGGGGAGGTGTGCTCCGTGATGAGGAAGTTCGGTCCCAAAGGCGTTTCTGGTCCCCACCTGTCATTGTGCTCCTCAGCATGGCTGCCTAAAAATGCTGCAGGATTTCTCAAACATGCATGAATGAGTCAAAGCAAGACTTCGGGCATGTTTTTTTTATGAGAGTATAACATTATAACATGATATAAAACTCAAAAAAGTTGACTTTACATGATATTGCCCCTTTAAGAGAACTGCCAGAGGGAGCGTCAAAATGGTAGCCGTAATGTTTTCTGAAAGAGCCTTTCCTGACACAACCCAGACTCAACCCTGCAACCTCAGGAGGATTACAAAACTGCAGCACTGACCAGAGAGCTACCACAGCCACCAAACATAAAGCATAAAGTATTATTAAAAAACAGTAGGGGTTACTGATAAATGGTCTAAAACCTTTAAACTCTCACTAACAGTGAAATGATCCAGTCTTGTCAACAGCAGTTCAAGAGTTTTTAACAGTTAAAATAGTTTGTTAKTAACAAATGATAATATTTACACTTGACAAGGTCAGGCAATTGTTAAAAATTCTTACCGCAGTAAAATCCAGCAAGTCGCTGAGCTCCTTATCGGTTTCTACTGCAGCCATTCTCTGCTGGGATTCACCAGGCCTCACTCAGTCTCAGCAGCAGACTACACGCAGAAGAAAGGAGAACATTAAGTTTATTCAATAACTCCTTAATATCTCAATTTTGATAAAAAGAAAAAACGTTTTGGAATAAATACTCTTTTTTCTACAATAGGAAATATAGATTAAAGAGGGAACCTATTGTATGTCCAATATGAACAGACATATTTTTGTAGCACTCAATTATTGATCAACCAATAAAGTACTAAAATATCTAAAAATATGAAAATATTCCTGTGGCCAAATTATTTATTTACTGAATAACAAATGTGTTGATAATGTCACATCACATTATAAAGCCTCTTCTTAACTATATGATAGCTTTTTTAAGGGGCTGTATGTATTTTCCAGGACATGGTTCGTCTTTACCACAATCAATTAACTATGTTACCTTCAGTTGTTATGAAAATGCAGTTTATATCTAAACTAAATTTGAGTTTGAATCATAGCCTATCTAAACACCTTAAAATTGTTCTCTGTCTCTTTAAGAACCTCCTACCATTTCGGACGCTCCTGCTTCAGCATGTTTACAAACAGCGCTTTTGGGGATGGGTGCTCTATGGAGCAGACTGAGCTCCAGGAAGGAGCTATGTACAAATGGGCGGTGCTTTGTACCAGTAAGTGTTTAGGAAGCCCTCCCACAGGAGATTCAAAAATTTCTCAAACATGAATGAATGAGTGAAAGCAACACTCTGGGTGTGTTTTTGATGATGAYATTATAACATGATATACAGCAAACAAAAATAAAAAAATAAAAAAACAGAAATCTTATGTAATACCACCCCTTTAAGAAACATTTTAAAGACTTCAGCAATCATTTATCTTTTCTCTTTGTTGACATTGCTGAAAACATTTTGGGAATTTTCTCATATACTGTATTCCACTAATGCAGGGGTAGGCAATCCTGGTGCCGCTGTCCCGCATGTTTCACTTGTTTCCCTGCTCCAACACACCTGATTAACCCTCCTGTTGTCCTCATTTTCTGTATACACCCTTTGTCCTCCGGGTCAAAATGACCCGTCTCCACTAAATTCCCAATATAAGCAGCTTAATTGAATTTTAAACACCAAATTTCATCTTGTATATTGTCATTCACCACAAAATGNTTAAGAGATTGAATTACCTCTTCCAAGTTCTGCAGAAGCCCATTAATCACCATTCATTCAGATCAGGTGTGTTGGAGCAGAGAAACATGTAAAACATGCAGGACAGCGGCACTCGAGGACCAGGATTGCCTTTGCCTGCATTAATGTATGAAAGCTATTTAAACAAATATGCTACATAAGTATTGAATTAATTTTTTATGTTAAATAATTTTGTAAAGATGGGTTCAGTTACTTTAAAATAAGACATTAGTTACTTTACAGAATCATTATTGGAAATAAAAGCAGATATTTAAAAGTTTTTATTTTGATACTAGCTAATAATGTTATGTACTTAAAAATACATAACTCTTCGTAATACTTTTCTTATTTTGGTATTTAAATAAATAATAGAATATTAAATAAATTAACCAATACTTGCAGCTTTACATATACCCGAAGTTTCTTTCAACAACATCCACCCATCTACTTTCTTTACCCACTTCTCCTTTCCTGGTCTCACTTTAAATTTAATTCAAAAGATCTTAACTCTAACTAAGCTGGTCCAACTGCAAACTAAATGGTGAAAAATTGAAGCCAGTTTTAAAAGTAGCCCACATGAAATTATGGTTCAGCCACTCTGCATTTGTTTAAAGTCAGCCCCTGGTCTCAACACTGCTTCCTCCACCGCWAAACCAACTGGATCAAACTATTTGTTCAATCAAAGTTTACAGACAAGAGCAGGCTGCACTCTCAAACAGACCACATCTGATCAGTTAATAATGAAAAACAAAATGCTTAAACTAAAACTTCTAAAGCAAGCAAACACACTCAATAATGGTCATTAAAACTACAAAAACTGCAGTAAAAGACACCCAGGGGGATGAAGGGTGATGATGATTAAACTCACAATTATCTCAGACTGTAATGTTGGAAAAAGAAAACAGACAACTTTCCTTTATTAGTCACACTTAGTCACTCCAACCTTGAAATGTAAGATCATTATCTTTAAATCCTGGCACCGCAATTAAATCTGTCGTACCTGAGAAACATAACTACTTTGCTTCAGCAACTTGTTTTGACAACGGCTTGGTATCTGTGACATTACACTCATTCTGAACTACGAAAACAGTGACGTTCAGCAGCATCAAATTATGTCGAAAACATATAACGATCTGTATTTGCAAAAAGCAATTAAAATAGTTGGRAATTAATCTGTATTTTAAAAAGTTATAGAATAATCAACAGTTGATGTATTGAGAAATCTCATACATTTTTAGTATTTTAGGTTGTTACTGTTATTTTGTTTGTAGTCCAGTTTCTTAGGACGCTTAAAACAAAAAAAATATAGGTGTTGTCTAAAGAAAATAAACCACTTTTTACATGTAGCTGGAGATTTATGACTTATCACAAGTGTGTCCCAGATGTTAACAAAGGTGAAACCAAGGCTACCACCTGAAAAACTCATTTTCATGCCTGTAGAGAGGATCGGCTCTGAACCTAAATAACAGGATGCTAGATAAGATTGCCCCTGACTTAAATATACATTTTAATTTAGACATACACGTTTTTACTCACAATGCTGTTTATCTGCAACAGAGCGATATCAAAGTTGTGACACAAGTAAGAAAGGAACATGACTAAGATCCCACTCTAAGACAGAAATGAGACACTATAATAAATATAACGAAAGGGGAGGCTAAAAATAGGGGTACAACAGCAAGTAGAGAAATGCAGTCAAATAACTAAACGCTGACAACACATAATGTAATTCCTGCCACTCTGTGAGCCGAGGTCAAAATGGGGGAGAAGTACTCAGCCCCTCCTAAAAAATGGAAGTTGTCTTCTATGGTCTTGAGCACCCCCACCTTCTTTTTTTTCCAGCGCATTTGGATAAAAGTTGCCAAACACAGAGGCTGAAAAGGCTACACAATCTCATAGTTCCTACCTGGAGTAAAAGGAGGCAGACTGTTATCAGCATCCGGAGTTTAAATGGCTAAAACACTGCGGGACCTCAGGCTTTAACAAAAACCTGTTGCCTGTCTCTCTCCCTCTCAAGTTATACACATCAAGAACCAGCGAGTTGAACACAAACACGCAAACAAAGTTCCCGTCGAGAGCTAAAACGAAAATAAACCACATCATACCTTCAAACATTTTGTTTGTTATATTTAGTTGATGTTAGCGAGGCTGCGCGCCACGGTTAACGGTCTGCGTCGGAGAAAATAAAGAGAAAGACCTCCCCAAAACAATACTAAAGTTATAATTTTATAAGCGGTGCAGATTTTTGTAACTTATTACCTCGACATGAACTACATTAGTGCATTTTAAGTACATTTATGACGCGAAACAGAGCGACATTACAGCTAGTGAGCGACCATAAAAACTACACTCACTCTTCAGACCGCACGACCCCCGAGCAGCTAGCACAGTGGTATGCTAATGTCCTGTAACGTTATAGCCCGCTGAAGTGAACAAAGAAGTCCTTTCCATCACACCCAAACTGCTAACGCTGAGTAATAAACGCTGCAAGTCGGGCTCAGGCCGGAGAGAGAACCCGAGACCCCGCTTTCCCCGGCTGAAGCTGCACCAACTTGAATGCTGCGCTTAAAACTTTGTTATTACACACACCCGGTACCAGTAACAGACAACTTCTGCCTCAGATGTGTGAGTCTTTTATGAATCAGTATAACGTAATGTTTACCTGGATTTAAATGTAGCATCCAGCGGCGAGAAGTGAACGAGAAGAGAGGAAAACAAAGTTATGGATAGGATCCTTTCTCCCGTGGTGCGAACTGTGGGGTTTTGATGAATAGAAGGAAAGATTACATAAACCACTCCTTCGTCGCCTCGTTTCGTTGTCTTCGCTACGAAGCCGAAACCACGTCTGTCGCAGGGACCATAACTTTTCTGTTGCTCTTTTTCCTTTCAGCTGAAGAAACTGTAATTATTTCATTTTCCAAGTAGACATTTTAATAGCCTCCACATTGTCGGTTCCAATGGAATATCCCTCCGCAGCCCAGTCTACGGGAGACGCTCAAACATCAGCGGTGTCCGATTTCAACTAAAGCAAACAAACCAAACCAGGCAGATTTCGTCCACCCTTTAGTATATGTAGCGATTATCGCCAAAAATGTAAAATGTCGACGTTCTGAGTCGCGAACGATGCACAAAATGGACTAACCAACAATTAGCGGAGATCTACGTCGACTCGCGGATGAGGACAGCGGAAAGCCCAATAGACCAGCACAGATGAAACGATAATATTGGAGGGAGAGCCAATTGGATGCCACAAATATTTGATTGACTTTTGCAGCGTCCAATTATATTTCAGAGTCATCCTCAAGGGCGGTCTGAATTTGCTAATACGCTTTAATTTTGCCCTCGATGACTATTATAAAAAACATAAATACACGTCCACTAGAGACAAAACGAGAAGGAAGTGAGTGCTCAGTAATGCAAAACAAAATAAAAAAAATAAAAAAAGTTTTCTCATTACGTGAATTTCGTGGTCAAAGCCACAATTAATAGTGACCTTGCAATACAAGTAAATTACTAAGTACTAGGCCCCAACTTAAGACATAAGTATAATTACCATCTTTCATAATGAAGGGCACTCATTGGCTAAAAATGTGCATGTTTGTCAAAATGTTTACTATATTCCCATAAATAGATAGAGCCCCTTTACAACTATTCTGGACCCTCACTAAAACTTGTATTTGTTTGTTAGCAAAATATCTAAATGAGTGGATGGATTTTAATAAACCTCTCAGGAAGAAATCATTGGATGTAGATTGCCAACTGATTTACTTTTGAAGTCAACCCAATTTAAGATGGCTGCTTTACTAAATCAACCTTAGCAAATATAAAATTGGCCAAAACTCAATCAGTTTTACAGATATTGGTCTTAAATTTGGTATGAGCTGAATTCTTTGGATTTAAACTTTTATATTAAAATATGTAGTGAGTGCAAAAAAGTTTTTTTTATAGGTCAGAATTTATATTTTGCATTCAAATATAATTTACAGAGAACAACTATGCGGTTGCGTATTAGGAAAAAAATGACTTCATGTAGGCTGGCTGCAGGACGACAATGTTTGTTTGAGTCTTTCTAAAGAAAACCTCAAATGTTTTGATAGGTAAAAAAAAGAGAAGAAAAGAAACAGAGCCATCTGTGCTGGCCTTTACAAGAAAACTCAGCCATCCACTTTGTGGTTCACAAATATGCACCACAAATATGCATGCATGCATGGCATGCATCGCACAAATGCATCTTATGCACACCTGTATGTAATATCCAGTTAGCATGTGATTCTTTTATACCTACCCAATTATCTCCTTGCTTACTTTATATAGTCTGATTTTTAACAAATAAGCAGTTAAAAAAATAATGTGTCTTTTCTGATGTTGTTCTCGCAGTATAAAAAGTAGAACAGAGCAAACAATCTTAGAATAGAGACCTAAATAAGAAAGTGTACAGCCCAGCTCAGGAGGTTTGCAACAAGCATTCAGTCAGAGTGAACACATCAACCTCATTATGACAGAACTAGTTTCATGTCACTGATTTAGTGTGACGCTCCAGCTCTACACCTGGGGAAAGGTGGTGCATATATATTCGCGTGGAAACGATCATATCACTGCTCTAAAAAAGAAAGAAAGAAAAAACATCAAAGATTGTTTGGTTTGTTGCCTTTTAAAAAGTAGGACAAACAAGACTGGGGGCAAAAAAAACCCAACATCAAGGTGTATGGCAAAGTGCAAGACAGATCTATATATAGAGTGAAACTCCATTTTCCTAACCCCAAAGTGTGCACCCTCCTCTCCACCCACTCTTTCCTGGGCTCTCTCCTCTTCTAACATAAGCTCTGTCAGGCTTTGTAAATGGGTTACCCCCATACAGCCACCCACGCATCAGGTACAGTATCAAAACCTGGGGCATCCTGTTATGACTTCTGGTTTCCTGTTTCCTGTAAAACATACAGCCCCCCTCCTCCTGGCGTTTGTTCTCTCACACACAAACACACTTCACACTCCACAAGCTGTCAAACAGCAAAGCCCCCGATAGTCTAAATGTTTGCACTTTCAATTCTGGCTCAAGAGTTTAGTAAGAAAAAAAAATGTCCCCCAATATTTAATTTTTATCTTTTAGTTCCAATGAAAGTCTATTAGGATCAAATGCTTGGTAGTGAGGGTTGAAACAACATAAAAACCTACAGCACTGTTAAGAAGTCACAATGACACACAGCAGCTGTTTCACCCCCATTGCTCACATTGAATTTGTTTTTATTTCATGTAYACATACTTAACACGCCAAAGAGGAAGACATACAAGCATCCGGGGACCATTTAAACAGCGTAAACAGCCGTGTTCGCTTGTGTGTGAACCATAGGTCCCTGTTTGACCCTCAAAAATATGAAGGAAAAAAAAGCTGTGACACACATCATGCTGCCATTGCACACGCCCCATGCCGTGATACCTGAGCATCTTTCACAACAGGGGTCAGTCACATCTCTCTAATGAGCAGAAATCTTTCTGCCTTCCTGCAGTGGCTCTTAAGCTGCCATTCAACATTTGACTTAATTTTGTGAATCATCTAGAGGCACAAACTCCCTCTGATGTGTTTGTTGAGAATTTTAACACACACACATGCAAGGTTGTTCTTAACAGAGACTCATTAAATTAGCTTTTAGCGGCATTGTCGCCTTTATTTTTTAATAATACTTAGCACTGTGTCATTTCTTTCATCCTACATCACATTGTTTCGACCTGCTCGCTCTGTCCTTCGTCTTTAAAACGAGCAAAAAGCACAATGGCATCCTGTTCTTTGTTTTTGTCATTTTCAGCTCGTCATCCCCTCCCCCTTTCTTGCAGATTGGAATTCATTAGCAATCAGAGCCACTGACGAACACCCAATCTTAATTACCCTCTCATTTGCATATTTGCATATTAATCACTGCAGACTTTGCTGTTTTTTCTCTGCTGCAGTTCTCACCCCACCTTCTCTTTCCATCAACATAGCTCAGACTTTAGCCACAACAGATACTGCATTACTTTGTTGTTCCCAAGGTCTCTCGCCTGTTGTTGCAGATATGCAATAAGACTTTTTTATTTTATTTACTGCAAGCACAAGGCTGAGAAAGCCTCACTTTTATTTTAGTCTAAAGGTGAACTCATCAGCAGCGACACTTCCTGCTCTTGCATATATTGAATGCAGTTTTTGTGGTCCTGGTTGGTTGAACACAGCAATGCAAAGCATATTTTCATACACCACTTTGAGAAAACACTTAAAATTTCTCAGTCATGTTTAATATGCTGCCCTCTTCTGGTGAAACAAGAAGTTTTAAGCTTTCACATCCAAYAAAATATCCTGTATATCACACAGGATACTCTCCATCAGGATCCAGGATGACTGCTGGATATGGGCACCAGTGACGCAACCCTGAAAAGGAAGAAGCGTGTACAGAAAATGGATGGATGGATGGATGGAGGGTATATCATACACTGATCATTATGACTTTAAAAGACAGATGAAAATATCTTTAAAGGCATCATAAAAAATAAAACTGACAACAGGAACAACAAAGGAGCGAACAGCCCCAGCATGAGACAGATGTGGAAAATCCACATCTTGTTGTTGTCAGTACAAAGTGTGAGAAACAGTGAGCGCCTGCTGCAGCTGAAAATGCTCACTGAGCCGTTCTGCAGCGAGATGAAGACAGGTTCTGTTCAGTTCTGACAAACTGCTTCCCCAAAACAACTCACCACACAAGTTCAGCCTTTCTTCATACGTTGATCTATTTGATCCCACTAAAGTTTGCTGTTCCAGAAAGTATTGGACTTTTAAAAATGTTTTTTTTTTGTTGTCAAAGTGTGTAAAGTTTCCAATATTATGGTTTATGATTAAAAAATACAAATCCCATTTGTTTGTACTCAAATGCACACTTTACTTGGCAAATACTTCATTTTGCAACGTTTGCTTCACAGCCCTGTTTAATGGATGAACCACTTCATTGGTTTCTCTGTAATCTGTCAGTCCAACAAACAACACATCAAACAGTTCTTTGAACCATAACAAGAAACTGTTTGTCACTGATCAGACATTAAACCTAATAATCTGAGCTGAAGTCAATCAAACCATTTCTCAAAGTTGACACACAGAAAGAAGATGATTAGGCTTGGTTATATTTTTAATTACGGAGTTAAAATAAAAAAAAATGTGTTAGATAACGCCACTCTTTAAGAAAGAAGGATACTCATTAATAGGCCAAAACAAAGTGAATTTAGATAAAAATGGAAAAGTTGTTTGCAATAATTAAATTTAATTAGTACAAGAGTGGCCGTGGCTGCGTGGTTAGGGGAGTCATCGTATGTGAGAGCTGTTGGTTTGATTCCCCCACTATTGAGTCACATGTTGAAGTGCCTCTGATGTGTCCTATCAGTGTATGAATGATTTAAGCACTGATTAGTCTCTAGCTTTGTAGAGATATGTAGTAATGTGTTGTGTGAATGAGGGCACAGATCCTGGTTGGATAGAATGGAGCTAAATATTGTAAATACAGTCCATTTACCAAATAATTTGTAATTTTAAAACGTGATACAGAGGTAATCAAGAAACCAAGGTGTACAATCCCATCTAATCTAAGTTACATGCAATGATCTCAACACATTAAAATACAATGAATGTGACCAGACATTGTTTTTTTCCAAGTAGTCACTTTAAAAAAGTATTTTTTTTCTATAACTGTGCACCATGCAGCTTCATATTTACAAAAATGTCAATTAAGAATGATATTTTTACCATTTGTGCGTGATTTGGTGTTTTTCTTCAAAATTAAGCAAAACCTCTTGAAATGTCTTATAGAAAAGGAAAAATGATTTTGCAAGTCAATAAACATAATGTAAGAAATGAGCAGGAGAGCTGATGGTGTGACTGTGCACATCAAATACATTTTATATTTAGTTCAACAAATCAAATAAACTGTATGCAGTCACCCCAAAAATGTCTTGTCTTGATAAATTTGGTGTTTTTAATATATATATATATATATATATAT